TATATAAATTGAATATGACTAATAGAGGGACGAGGCTACTAGAGAGCAATTGTTTATCACCTTAAAAGGCACTCTAGTCTTTTCCTCCTGTTTTAAAATAAAAACAAAACAACTTCACACTCAGCTCGTTGTCAAACCGTTGCCAGAAAATGTTCAGTGTTGGCATTTTAGTGTGGAATTGAATAGAGCAGCTGATGCTGTGGTCTGTGTACAGATTATTTTGATTTCTCAGCTTCTGTTTTCCGCAGAAGATGCCCAAGGAATCTGATGAGTCCTCCAAGGAGGAGCAGAGCAAGACTGACAAGGACGGGATAGAAAACACTATGGAAACATCAGAAGAGATGATCCGGAAGAGGATCAGAAGAAATACTCCCAGTCCTCACAGACTCACCCCCCAGTGTAAGGAGAGAATTGATTATTTTACTTAAGAAATATATGGCAATTTTAACTCTAACAGTGTTAACATTGCATTCAAACACTCACCTTTCCCCACGTTTTCACAGCAGCATTATCAAGAACAGGCTTGCTCTGCGGTGACTGATGCGGGCCAACGAGCCAGGCAGGAGGAGAAGAAGAGAGTAGTTGAACTGGTAAAGTGCTTGATAGGGACTCTCAACGGAGGCAGGCATCTAACCTTTACACTACCAGTCAAAAATTTTTGAACAGGATTCTTTGATGAATAGAAAGATCCAAAGATCAGCATTTATCTGAAATAAAAAGCTTTTGTAACATTATACACTGTACCATTCAAAAGCTTGGAGTCAGTATTTTGGGGGGGGGGGAATTATAGAAATTATTAATAATTAATTTCTATTTCAGATAAATGTTGTTATTTTGAACTTTCTGTTCATCAAAGAAACCTGAAAAAATTCTACTATGTTTTAAACATAATAATAATAATAATAATAAATGTTTTTGAGCAGCAAATCAGAATATTAGAATGATTTCTGAAGGATCATGTGACTGCAGTAATGATGCTAAAAATTCAGCTTTGAAATCACAGGAATAAACTACATTTTAAAATATATTCAAATAGAAAGCAGTTATTTTAAATAGTACAAATATTTTACAATATTACTGCTTTTGCTGTACTTTGGATCAAATAAATGCAGGCTTGGTGAGCAGAAGAGAATTCTTTAAAAAACTTTCAAAATCTTACTGTTCAAAAATTTTTGACTGGTAGTGTAATATATATATATATATTATGTACTTTCTTAACATATCTGCATCTTAACATTTCACATAACTAAAAATGTTTGAAGGTGTTCATTAGTTCCGTGTCCCCCTGTTTTTCCAGGCCCTTCTGTCTTTTCTATTGCCAGGACAGAGCCGACTGAGAGGGCAAATTGAAGAGGCTCTGGACCTCTCATTGATCCAGCAGGAGGCTGAGAACGGAGCTCTAGACATCAGTAAGGTAGCTCAGTTCATAATTGACATGATGGGCACCTTTTGCGCACCCTGCCGTGATGAAGACATCAAACAGCTGCGTGAAATCACTGACATTGTGCCCCTTTTTAAGTAAGTCACTTAAACAGATCAAGGTGAAGGTCACGTGACTCCAACTCCCAATAAAATCATGTTTCTTTGCAGGTCTATATTTGCAGTGCTGGACAAAATGAAGATCGACATGGCCAACTTTGCTGTGAGCAGCCTGCGACCTCACCTCTTTCAGCAGTCGGTGGAATATGAGCGGAAGAAATTCCAGGAGTTCCTAGAGAAACAACCCAGTAAGAAAAATCAATTACTTGTATAGTAATTATACAAAATCAATGAATGTTATGTTATGCAGGGATAACATTGGATTAAAAAAATATGGATAAGCTTCTTGCACTTTAGTAAATGCTAATCTCTTTAATTGAGTAATGTATTCATGTTTGCAGATGCTTTGGATTTCACAAAGAAATGGCTCCAGGACACAGTAGATTATGTAACCGGTGGAGGAACAGAGGGTGGAGCAACATGCACACCAAATTCTGCTCAACTTCCTCTAACTATACACAATCATGCCTATTTACGCCTGTTAAAATGGGACCATGATACTGAGTCTTTTCCGGAGGTAATGTATTATTAGTGATAAGTGATGTTTGGATCTATTCATTTATTTTAAAAATGTATTATAAATGCAATTCATACATAAGATACCTCTTGTTTCTAATTTCTCAATTAAAATACATTTTTGTGGAAAAAATACTTTAGGTATTTTTTGACCGGCATATGGCCAAACTATCTTGAAACAAATGATCTGATATCATAATGAAGAATTTTAACAATTAATGATATTTGTTTAAAAAAAAAGCTTTATTCTTTTGGGGTCATTAGGTTTTGTTTTTGTTTTTTATTTCATGGGAAATTTAGTAAGAATATAAATTAGTAAATGAATCAAAAGTGACAGTAAAGGCATTTATAATGTTACAAAATCTATTTCAAATAAATGATGTTTTTTTTTTTACTTTATATTCATCAAAAAATTCTGGAAAAATGTTTATGGATTATGTCACATTAATACATTACATTTTAAAATATATTAAAATAGACTGTTCTTTAACATTCTAAGAATATTTTACAATATTACTGTTCTTACTGTTTGATCAAATAAAAGCAACCTGGGTGAGCATAACAGACTTGCATGTGTGTTTTAAACTCTTTTTTTTTTTTTTTTGTCATTGATCCCAAAACTATTCTTTTACCTTTTCCTTTGTTTTCTCCCTCCTGTTATCAAACAGACTCTTCTCATGGATCAGGGCAGATTTCTGGAGATGCAACAGGAGCTGGAGAAACTGGCACTGGTGGCCTCAGTCCTGCTCATAGTCTATAACAGTGCCGGTGAAGCCATTTCTGGACTCCCAGGCCTCATGGAAAGACTGAAGAAAACCATTAAGATTCTGTTAGCGGAGATGCACACTTCGTACGTTTGTAGATTACATTACATTGTGTTTCTAACAGTGTTGGGGGTAACGCATTACAAGTAATGCGAGTTACATAATCAGATTACTTTTTTCAAGTAACTAGTAAAGTAACGCATTACTTGAATTTACAAGGAAATATCTTTTTTCAAAAAAGTAACGCAGTTACTTTGTTTTCCCATTTATTGACTGACAAGTCTCCTGTCCCCATATTGGGAGAAAACGGAAGTGCAGAGGAGTTGTGTGCGCTGTGTGAACATGATGTTACTGTAGTTCTAGACTAAATGTGAATGTGCATTAATTCATCCCACTCGCAAAAAACAGATTTAGTATTCATCAAAATGAATTAAAACAGTGAAATGCAAACTCAGAATATGACGCAAACCTGCAATAATTAAATATGGTAAATAACACAAATGTATCTAATCCCATTTTATTAACCAATGTCTTTGCTGCTGACCTTTGATGATCCAGTTCAACCATACTAATAAGCAAAATTGACTTTAGATAAACTAACAATTGTGCTTCATTGTTTTTTTTTATTGCTGAAGAGTGTTTCTTCTCCTGCATTCTACTGTACAGACGTGAATTTACTTTTCATTCAGCCTGAGGTTTATTCATTACACTTTTTGGTGTAAAAGGGCTTTTACATTTGCTATAAATAGAACTTCTTATATTAAAAGCAATCAAGCCCTGCTCATATTTAAAAAGTAACGCGAAAGTAACGCAAAAGTAATGTAACGCATAAGTAATGTAACGCATTACTTTCCAGAAAAAGTAACGAAGTAACGTAATTAGTTACTTTTTTAGGGAGTAATGCAATATTGTAATGCATTACTTTTAAAAGTAACTTTCCCCAACACTGGTTTCTAAAGCCTCACACTTCTGTAGACAAAACCATTGTACTTTTCTCTTATAGGTCCTTTAAAGCGGATGAAATCTTTGCTACGGTTGCAGAGAAATTGTGTGGGGAGCTCAGAGGATGCTTGTCGCAGCATGGCTTTTCCCCATTTTCTTCTGACAGAGAGAACACGTTGAAAGGCCAAATTGTAGCTGCGAAGTCTGCGGACAACCCCATACGCAAGGTCATTGGTAAGCGTGTTGTAACCCAAAAAGCAGTTGGATTTTATTTAGAAGTGAAGAACTCTAAACTAAAACTCTACTTTCCCTATCAGACTCCCGAATCCAGACGTACCTTCTTGGCTTCCTGGAGTCAAGCGCCCACCGGTGCGCCCCGGCTCTCCCTGGAGGTCTGACACCCATCAGCAAAGAGTTAGAGGAGATTTCCGTTAAGCTGGAACATTTGGTAACCTTCAACAAGCTAGTTTACTCTCCGTTCTACCACAAGATCCTCCAAGATATTCTGAAACAAGGGGAAAGTTTAGATGTGTAAACAAAATACCTGAAATACTTACCACTAGTGTTCCTGGCTTTCACATTCTGTAGCTATGTACAAATGAAAGTGTCTGTAAAATAGCTAATTAACCCCTTAAAGCTCACACGCTAACACTAACAGATATTTAAGGGTTAAGAGTCCTGACCTCCTCTCATTGCATTCTATATCAGGAAATATTTATGAATGTATCAAGGCATTTGAATTGCCTAAAGCTTGGATTACTTTAGGCAGTAACTCATAACTGTTAGAATAGTGTACTGAAATGTAATAGAGGAGAACCATGCAAAAACTATTATTGTGTGCAACAAAATAGAAAAAGAATACTTGCATTTTACAAAAGATTCACTTCCAACAACATTTTAAGTAGTTTCAAACATTTGCTGTTGTAGCCTGATCCCTTCTGTAAAGGTGTTATTGAGGTTTCCGGTTGTGAGGAAAAGGATGTACAGTACAGCATTTGATTGGTGCCTTAGTTTGTGAAGTGCCACCCATATTTAAGTGCACATTTTTCTCTTTACTGCTCATTTTAACCTACAGATTACTCCCATGTTGTTCCCATGTTCACGGGACACTTGGAACACCAAGCATGGTCTTTTTAGAGTATTCTTGATTTTTTAAAAACAATGTTTCTATCAACACTGAGCATGTTTTTACAGAAGACAACTTCACCTCACAAGCAACTGTATTCCCCAACAACCCCAACTGCACATTTCTCTGTTCTACTCTCATGAACCTCTAAGGTGTCTTATTAATGCAGTATTACTAATGGTTATTTTAAATGGAATGCTGGCTCCCAATAAAAATGGTTAATGGAGGTATGTAGAAGCATTGATTGTGTTTACTGTTTTTTTTTGTATGCAATTCATCTGGCATTATATTACATGATATTTAGTTTTGTTTTATCCAGTATTAATCGGCTATCAATATTAAATCAAATAAAATTAGTTAATTCTGGAAAACATAATTTTCAGATATATCAGTATTTAAAATTAAATATAAAATACTAATTGTAATAATTAAAAAAAAAATGTAAGTACATGTTATTTGTTATGCATACAATACATCAGTTATTGTAATAAATGTTTTAATTCTAAAAAAATATTATTTTATATCAAATATACTTTATATACAATAAAGTACTATATTATATTTTAATGTTATATAAAATAATATTTTATAATATATTTAGTTTGATCTACTTAAATGTTTTAAGTTATGTTTACTAATTACTACATTGATTTATATTTTATGAAAGATTTTTAAGTTATCAAGTTATCAATTATTGTCAGTTAAATTTGTTCATTAATGGCTACAAGTTGCATTACTTTCAGATATATCAATCTATTTTATTTTACAGTTTTACAGTCAAATGTAAAAAATAAATTGTAATTTGACTGAAATTTTTTTTATTTTGCAGTGAAAGTGGCATTTCTTTTTATTTATTTTTTATTTTTTTGCATATTTTAATCATTTAATGTTTATTATTATAATTATTCTTTTTTTGGCCAAATTGTGAAACCTTTGGCCAAGCACAGCTCTAAAAAAAAATCACATTTTATACATTTCAATTTATAAGTTTTGTTCAATTTATATGTTAAGATTTTTATGTTATCAATTATTATTTTAAGTTGAATTAAATTGGTTAATTAACGGTTACCAGTTACATTGCTTTCAGATATATCAATCTATTTTGTAATTATGTATAAAAAAAGAAAATATTTACATATTATTATATTATATATTAAATTTTAAAGCAAAATATTAGATTTAAATAATTAAAATTGTATTTTTCTTAAATGTGTTAATTCCAGAACGCAACATTTTCAGCTATTTTATGGTAAAATAATTAATTATATAGACAATATAGCAATATTTACGTGTTATGATGTTACATTGTATACAAATGTTTAATTAGCATACAAAGCTTTATTTTTATAACATTTACATATTACACTATGACGTTTTTATTCGTTTTTTGTTTTTGTTTTTTAGATCTGTGCTTTGTCCAAAACACTCCTCACGCACTGCATTTACCCACCAGAAGGGGCCACTACACAACAGAACTGTGTGCTAGTTCCGTGGGCGTCTCATGTGTTGTGCGTTGACTCTCCAGCCCTGTTCACGGCAGTACAGCTAACACAGCAGTTCTGATTCCGCTCTCACACTCACAGGAAGAAGCAGTGCAAGAGCATTCTCGAGCGAGCGCTCAGCTGCAGCTGAGAGAGCTCCAGCGAGCTGAGCTGACAGAGTTTGTCCGTCGCCGGCAGGAGGAAACAAACCAGGGGGGCTTAAACGTCCTCGACATGACGACAAAAACCTCCCCTGACCGAAACGGATATCCTTAACTACACACTGGACCCTGTTCGGTTCCCGTGGATGGCTTAGCAGGCGAGTTATGCGCAGTTGAAAATGAGGGAGCTTGTGTTTTTTCTCCCTCGTCGTCCAACGGGAGGACAAGATGGCAGCGCGAGCGCGTCGAGCATGTAGTGGGTGCGAATTAAACCCGAACATGTTCACAAAAAACCCGCAGTACGACCACAGCTGCTGTCTGTGAAGGTAAGGATTTAACGAGTTGCAAATGCATAAATACGTGTCTGATAGTTAATAGTGAAGCTATCAAATGAGGCTCGACTTCGGAGTTGTGAACGCGAGCTCGTAGCTGTTGCGAAAAAAGTTGCCACGCCACACCAAAAACTTGAAAGCAGTGTTTCGCTGGGGTTGGTCATGTGTTTTGGTAGCTCTTGAGCTTCTGGGTTTACTAAAAAAAAAAAACTATTTTGTTCGCCCCGCAAATTTTATCGTTAAATGTTCGCGTAGACTTGCTGGTAACCAGCCAAACCCATAATGTTTACCTAAATCCTGCTGCTTTTAAAAGCATGACGTAAAGAAGTTCAGATGATGTTTTTAAGCATCAATCATTTGCGTTGTTAGTGTTCGTGCATATGATTTGTAGGTTTTAAAGTGAGTTTTTCCGTTTAAACTTGCCAGTTGTTGATCTTGTACAATAATCAAGCGACATGTTGCAATCCTTCTAACATGCACAGGCCTGGTAATCGGTTAGCAGCTGACTTCTCCTTTCTTCTGTAATTTGACGATATGCTGGTAAGACTCAGCAAAAGTTGTATCTAAAATCTCTTATGTAATATGCAAGTTGCATTTCCTGTCTACACATTGAAATAGAATCTCTCATGCATTTCCTATAGAAGCTTGTTCAGAAAGATGTTTTAAACTGTCCTTGAATATTAGAACAATGCTTATTTCATGTATGTTTTCGGCAGGGAAAGTTTTGTTCGTTCCAGAACTTCGTTTAGCGTTCCTACTCTCATGGAAAACCTGGAAATGTTATGGAATTTCCAGACCTGGAAGTGAATATAGCGGTGAACATGATCTCAAGACATGGGGGATGCTAAATTGCGAAGAGATTTTTGATATCTCGAACGGTTTGCTCGTGGCGAGGCGATGAAGTTATGGCGAGAAATGAGAAACAGGAAGTGTCTTATAACATACACATACAGTACATTGTCTGATTTTGATCAAACTTCAGGGTTTTTTTCGGTGTATGATGCCGATCGCATACATGTGACTATTAGGAGTCAAAGTCATAGCGCCACCAACTGGCGTCAGGAAGTGTGTCATTTTCAAAATGCTTTTAATTCATCATCTTATTTTTACCCGATTTGCTTCAAACTTCTTCAGAATAATGTCAAAACTGTATGGCCGATGTAAAACTGGTGAGGGGATATTGATATCTGAAATATTGTTGCCATGGCAATGTGTCAAACTTGAATATTCTTTTCTGGTGATTTTGAAGTAGATAATATGCTTAGAATTTCTTGAAACTCAACACACATCAGTATTAATGATAGATAGACACTGGAAAAAGCTCATAAAAGGGCGTGGAAGAGGCACTCTATAACTTGGGGGGTTAGTTTTAGCTACAGTCACCAAACTTGGTACATATATTGATCTCATCAAGCCGGACAACTTTCTAATTTACAGTCATTAGCTACGACCAACAGGAAGTCGGCTATATTGATTTGAATATGGATTTTTGAAAAAATATAGCTGTGAATTAATGCATACTCCTCAGAGGAAAATTGCTCTATACACACCAAACTTTGTCTACATGATGCAAACACATTAAGGAACTTATATTGCGGATGGATTTTGGATAGCTTGAACGGTTTTGCCGTGGTGATTTGTTAAAATAACAGGAAAAAATGACAGAGTAGACTAAGCTGTAATGAAGGCAAAAATATTTCACAAATATTATAGATAAATAAAATAGTTAAAAAATGCTTATAAATAATTAAAGGTTTTGGTAATACTTTAAAATAAGGTCTCATTTGTTAACACTAGTAAATGCATTTACTAACATGAACTAACAATGAACAATAATCTGGTGAGGGGATATTGATATCTGAAATATTGTTGCCATGGCAATGTGTCAAACTTGAATATTCTTTTCTGGTGATTTTGAAGTAGATAATATGCTTAGAATTTCTTGAAACTCAACACACATATCAGGGAGAGAGAGGGAGAGAGAGAGAGAGAGAGAGAGAGAGAGAGAGAGAGAGAGAGACCTTTAAACATCTCTTTAATCACCAGAAAAAAATAATCTGTAATTTTTTGTTGTTGTTTTTTATTTTTTTTTCCGTTACAGCTTAAGAAATCTCTTAGGCCTTATCAACATAACTCAGAAATATTTATTTCAAGATGCAAAAAAAAAAAATGAAACTGTACACTTGATTTTTCTTTCTATGAAATTGCAGAGGTTTATTTTTCTTTTTCTTTTTTTCTCAAGTGAACAGTTGTACAGTTTCATTTTTTCAATCTTGAAAAAATATTGTGCCCGCTGTGCACCGTTCTCCTGATGCCTCCGGGATGGCGTTTGCACTGACGGCTTGGGCCCGCCATCGCTGCTTGCAGCTATATTTGTTATTATTATCGCATTATATTATAGCTAAATATTTAATTGTTGTATTCAAATACCCGTTATTTTTAAGATGTATTAAATTCTACTTGTTTAATTTGTTGTTTGATATTATTTTGTGAAATTAATTAATATTGCAATTATTTCATTATCAGTTTTAAATCAAATTCAACTTAATTACTAGTTAAAAGTTACATTGCATTTAGATATATGAAAATATTTTATAATGTTATCAATAAAATATATACATGCTTTATTTTAGAATATTTTATAGTGAAATTGTTTACTTAATTAGGTTATTTTTACTAGGTGTGTTAATTCTGGAAAACCCTGTTTTCAGATAGATTATTATTCTTCATTTTATTGGTTATAATATTTTTTTGTGCATTTTATATGTAAAATGTATGTGTGACTTGAAAAAGAATCATGGAAGAATTATGGAATTTCGTTCAACCCCTTTTCAATATGCCAAAGAATACTCCAAAGAAATGTTGTCACTTTTTTTTTTATAAAACATGTATTACAACATAATGAAACAGGAGTATTGTAAGTTCCTCATTGATATTACTATCACTTTCCATCACTGGGAAAATTTGTGCCTGTCAATTCAGTAAAGTTTACTTCCCAATCATTTCCTGCCGTTAAACTTTTATAGCCCAAGCAGTTGCAGTATCAACAGGTGTTTTCCCTGTGCCATCTCTCGCCTAACCCCATTAGGTCTTGACATAGGAAAAGGTCGGTCACCACCTGCTTATAGCAGAAGGAAGTGGCATTTGAAAACAGTAGAGAGACCTGTAACCCAAAACCTTTGCTGGTGCCTCCTTGCTACTGGGGGATTACGCTACTATGGGACAGACCTCATATAAACACTCCTCCAGATGGGACTGT